CCTCCCTACACTGATCCCACCATGAGAGGCTTTGACCTCCCTATTAGCAGATCCACAGGGCAGTGTGGTGCCTCCTGCACCTGAACATTTTGTCAGCAGGCTGGAAACCATCCTACCTAGCCTGTCACAACCAGTGTCAATGCAGCTTGACCGTAGGACAAGCTACTGAATCAATCTTGTCACCCCAGTACTTCAGCATCCTGTTCAGGGTCCCAGAAATCTCCCAGCCCAGTCTACCACTGTTGGCACCTGAATATTCCTCCTGGGTCTGAGATTGGGCCAGCCCAACCTGCCAAAGCTACCACAGGTGGCACCCATCAGAATGCACCACCAGCAGGCCAAGGGACTGGCACACCTAACCTGTCACAGCTACCACCAACACCAGAGTGGACCACTTGGGTTCCCGTGGGTTATTCCACCACCACTACTGACATCACCCACATCACATTAGCTGCCCAGAGATTTGAGAACCCAACCACACACTCATCCCACTGCTGCCACTACCAATATCTGAGGAAGCCACCTGGAGCCCAAGAATCAGCCTGTCTGGACTCACTAACGCTGGAGCTAATGTAACCCACACTGGGGCCAAACACAAGTGTGCTCAGCCTACTACTACCACCACTGGGGCCCAAAGACTGGTCAACCTGGCATCCTTGTCCTCAGTAAAACTTTACTCTGGCCCCCCACTAGCAAATGCACCCTAAATCACTGAGGAAATTACAAGTACAACTGACACTATTTATAGCCAAATAAATCATACAAAGATCACACTACTACACGTGTCCAAAATCAAAGCCAAAATACCCGACCCAACCAACAACATACATACATCTTCAGAGAAAAGCCCTCCCCTATGAAAACCAATTTCAAAGAATTGGAAGAAGCAACCAGATTGGAAATTGAAAATTGGAAGTTATACCAGATGCACAGATATCAACACAATGAAACAGAAACATAAAATGGCAAGGAAATATGACACTTCCAAAGAAACAAGACAAAGAATTCAAAATACTGCTTTTAAAGAAGCTCAATGAGATACAAGAAAATTTTGAAAAACAAAGAAATCAGAAAAACATTTTAGCATATGAATGAAAAATTTACCAAAGAGTTATTTTTTAAAAGAAACAAATAGAAATTCTGGAACTGAAGAATTTATTGACTGAAATACAAAATACATTTGAAAGCTTCAACCAGAGACTAGATAAAACAGAAGAAAGCACCTCAGAACGTGAAGACAGGTCTTTGAAATACTCCAGTGAGACAAAATCAATAAAAAAGAATGGACAAAGCCTTCCTGACATTTGGGACAATATAATACAATGAAATATTTGAATTATTGGTGTACTTGAGGGCCAAGAGAGAACAAATGGGCTAGAAAATCTATTTAATGAAGTATTAGATTGAACACATCCCAAGTCTAGCAAGAGACCTATATATAGGTCTCTATAGCAAGATATAGGAAGCCCAAATATCTTTAAACAGATATAATGCAAAAAGGTCTTCTCAATGCTATATTACAGTCAAACTATGTACTAAGGCAAAAATAAAAGAGAGAATACTAAGAATGGCAAGAGAAAAGCATCTATTTATTTAGTCAGTTTATCTTTTAATTTAATCTGTTTTCTCTCAAGGCTATTACTAATATGTGAGGTTTTGTGACTGTCATAATGTTAATCGCTTTCTGGTCATTTTGTGTTTGTGCATATACATGTCACATATATATGTCATACAATGACATACATGTCACCAGGGTTTGGTAGTATATGGCAGTAGTACTACTTGAGTCATTTCTCTTCCTTGTTTGTGTATTTGGTCTCACAAAAGGATTGCAGAGGGATGGAGGGAGGTGGGCAAAGGTAAAATACTACCTACTGGGGACTATGTTCACTATCTGGGTGTTGAGATCATTAGAAGCTCAAACCTCAGCATCACACAATGTCTCCATGTTACAAAACTCCACATGTATCCCCTGAATCTATAATAAAATAAAAATAAAGAAGTCTCCCAACAAACAGAAGCCTAGAACTAGTTGAATTCACAGCCCAACACTATCAATACCAGTCCTCCTAAAACTATTCCAAAAAACTGAAGAGGAAAGAACTCTCCCTAACTCATTCTACAAGGCCAGCACTATCTTAATACCAAAACCAAACAAAAGCACAACAACAAAAAGAAAACTATAGGCCAATATTCATGATAAACATAAATGCAAAAATCCTTACCAAAATACTAGCAAACGAAATCCAACAGCACATCAAACAGATGACATACCATGACCAAGTGGGATTTATACCAGGAATATTAGGATAGTTCAACTTATGCAAAACAATAAACCTAATACATCACATCAAGAGAATTAAGCACAAATCTACATGATTATCTCAATAGATGGAGAAAAAGTATTTGATAATATTCAACACTGCTTCATAATGAAAACTCTCAATCAACTAGGAAATAAAAAGAACTGACCTCAAAATAACAAAGGCCATATACGACAAAAGCACAGGTAGCATCATAGTGAATGGGGGAAAAGCTGAAAGCCGTTCTTCTATGAACAAGATAAGGATGCCCACTTTCACCTCTCCCATTCAATATAGCACTGGAAGTCCTAGCCAGAGCAATCAGGCAAGATAAAGAAATAAAAGGCATTCAAATTGGATAAGAAGAAGCCAAATTACTCCTCTTTGCTGACAGTATGACCTTATAGCTAGAAAAAACAAAAGAATCCACCAAAAAAACCTCCTGAATTTGATAAATAAGTTCAGCAAAGTTGCAGGATATAAAAAAAATCAACATACAAAAATTGGTAGCATTTCTGTACACCAATAAAGAGCTAGAAGAGAAAGAAATCAATATGACAAGATCATTTACAAGAGCTACAACAAAATAAAATACCTAGGAACAAATTTAGCCAAGGAAGTGAAAGGTCTGTGTAAGAAAAACTACAAAATACTGATGAAAGAAAATCAAAAGGACAAGGATCAGAAAAATTAATATTGTAAAAATAATGATAATGCCCAAAGCAATCTACAGGTACAATGCAATGCCTACCAAAATACCAACAACATTTTCAGCAGAATTAGAAAAAAATCATAAAATTTGTATGAAACCCAAAAAAGAGCCAAAATAGCCAAGGCAATTCTGAGCTAAAAGAACAAAGCTGGAGTCATCACATTACCTGACTTCTAAACATATTACAAGTCTACAGTAACCCAAACAGCATAACATCAGCATAAAAATAGACACGTAGACCAATGGAACAAAATACAGAGTCCACTAATAAATCCACATTTTGACAGCCAACTGATTTTCAATAAAGGTATCAAGAACATACACTGGGGAAAGGACACCTTCTTCAATAAACAGTGCTGGAAAAATTGGATATCCATATGCAGAAAAATGAAACTGGATCCCTGTCTCTCCTGATATATAAAAATCAACTCAAGATGAATTAAAGGCTTAAATATAAGACCCAAAACTATAAAACAACTAGAAAAGGACATAGGGAAACACCTCAAGACATAAGTTTAAGGAAGACTGCATGGGTAAGACCTCAAAAGCACAGATAACTATAATAATAATAGAAAAAAGAGGTTATATTAAACTAAATGGCATCTGCACACAAAGGAAACAATAAATAGGGTGAAGAGACAACCTGTTGAATGGGAGAAAATATTTACAGACTATTCATTCAACAAGGGAATAATATTCTGAAGGTACAAGGAACTCAACTCAATAATTAAAAAAACAAATAATCCCATGAAAAAGTGGGCTAAGGACACAAATAGACACTTCTCAAAAGAAAACATACAAATGGCCAACAGGTATACAAAAACATGCTTAACATCACTATCAAGGAAATCTAAATCAAAACCAAATTGAGATGTCATCGTACCTCAGTTAGAATGGCTATTCCTAAAAGAACAAAACATAACAGATGCTGGCAAGGATGTGGAGAAAAAGGAACTCTTATACAATGTTGGTGGGAATAGAATTGGTACAACTACTACAGAAAACAGTAGGGAGATTCCTCAAAAAAACTAAAAATAGAGCTACCATAAGATCCATCAATCCCATTATTGGGTATTTATCCCAAAGAAAAGAAATGTGTATATGAAAGGAATACCTGCACTTGCATGGTTATCACAGCACTATTGATAACAGTAAAGATAGAGAATCAACCTAAGCATCCACTGATGGACAAATGGATATAGAAAGTGTGGTATATAAACACAATGGAATACTATTGAACCCAAAAAGAATGAAATAATATTGTTTGCAATAATATGGATGGAACTGGAGGTCATTATGTTAAGTGAAAAGACAGATGCCACATATACTAATATATGGGAGCTTAGGAACAATCGATCTCACGGAGATAGAGGATAGAATAATAGATACCAGAGGCTGAGAAGGATGTGTGGGTGGAAGGAGGAGATAAAGAGAGGTTGATTAGTGGATGCAAACGTACAGTTAGATTGAACAAATAAGACCCAATATTCAATAGCAGATTAGGGTGACTATAGTCAGCAACAATGTACTATGTATTTCAAAGTAGCTAGAAGAGATGACTTGAAATGTTAACAATGCATAGAAATGATAAATACTCAAGGTGATGGATACCCCAAATACACTAACTTGATCATTCCACATCCTATGCATGTAACAAATACATGTGTCCCATAAATAAGTAAAATATTTGGTATCAATACAAAAATTTTTTAAAATAAAATAAATTCTTCATTTTATACTTTTCATAGTTTTTCAATTTTCTGTAAGTATATACCACCCTTAATTTAAAAAAAAGATAATTTTCAAATACTGTACATCTCCCATTTAGAATGCTTCAGACTAACCAAGTAATGAAAACAATCCTGAATGACAATTAAAATTATATTGTTGGTTCTGGCAGGTGCCACTTTCTTTAGGGCTAGCCCCTGAGAGTCCTTCCACCATGGGACTTCCATGGATATCCCAGCCCTGAACCAGGCACTTACCTGGGAAGGTGTCGTCACACTGATTTCTGGAACAAAGTTGTCCTCAAAGAAACTGATGATGTTCTCCTGCTGCAGTTCCTTTGTCGGGGTGACTTTAGGTAGAGGTGGGACAGGAGGCCCTTTCCTTGTCTAGGAAGCATTAAATACAAACATTAATCCAGCCAAAGACGATGTGTCAGACATGAAGGCAGGTTACATGAACAGAGCCACGTGGACAGATTGAGCTCTGATCGAAACTTATATCTGCATATAGCAGCAAGCCTATCTGATTCAGGTAAAGAATGCTGTCTACTTGGGAGGCTCTCTGAGCCCTGATAAGCCATGGTTCAGGGGAAAAACAAAACTGAGGCTATAAGAGTCCATTCATCTCAACTCAAGTACAATACACAGAACTGCAGGGCCAGGTACATATACTTTTAAGGTTAAACTAGGACAATACCCTCTTCTGAACTAAACTGAAAATAATTTCTCATTTCAGAAATAAATTAAAATTTCAAAACTAAAGCAGCTTTTCATTTGAATTGGTGAGACCAGCGGTAGGCAGCTTACATTTCACTTTCCATTCACGGATTTCGAAAAGTAGAAAACTTTAAAGGTCTGTTTAATACATGTGTCTTCCCAAGACCTTCCTTAGTTCAACTACATATAGATGGTCCTTGACTTACAATGGTTCAATCTATGATTTTTTTTGGATTTCAGGAAAGTGTGAAAGCAATAGGCATTCAGCAGAAAGTGTGAAGATACTCTCTCATGAGGCTGGGCAGTGGCAGTGAACCACACTTCTGTTAGCCCTGTGATCACGAGGGTAAATGATTGCCATTATGTCCTACAGTGTACTATAATCAGTAAATTACACAAGGTATTCAGCATGGTTATAAAATAGGCTTTGTGTTAGATAACTTTGTCTAACTGTAGACTAACGTTAAGTGTTCTTGGCACGTTTGAGGTAGGCTGGGCTAAGCCATGATGCTCAATAGGTTAGGTGTATTTAATGCATTTTGACTTGCAATATTTTCTACTTATGATGGGTTTATCAGGACACAACCCCTTTGTAATGCAAGCAGCGTCTGTACAAGAAAGCTTGAACTGGACTAGAGACTTTAAGTTTTTCCACAGAAATTCTCATTTTCACCCAACATAGGGAGAATAAAGGTGGCAGTTCTGCTCTACAGTTACCATTGCCCAACCCTTACTGTTTCTTTTCAATTACTTGTTCAATACAGTTTTAGTAATTGGCTACTCATGTGCAAATGTGTGCACCAAAAATGTCCAGAGGTACCAAAAATGTGAAATGACATAAACATAACTGCTTTTCTTGGCAGAACTTGCTAACTCTAAATCATTAGGAGAGGGAAGGTTTCATGCAGAGGAAGGATTTAAATGGAGTATTGAAAGAAAATAGTTTTGCAACAAGAGATGGGAGAAGAGAGAGCACGCTAGCCTGAGCATGCAGAGAACATGGTAAGAAATCCCAAAAGACTTGAATATAGGGCATGTGAGGACATATCAAGTCAAATAAGAAGAGCAGGTGGATACCTTCACGACAATCACAATGCCTAAAGCCTCACATCTCAGTCTCCCTAACTGGAAATTTCTCTTAAAGCCCTAGCACCGTGGGATTATCGTAGATGGGGCCACCTTCACCTTATCATGAGCTCCATCCCCGAATATATTTGACCTCTTCCTACCTGTGAAGGCGACCGAGGCCGTGCTGGTGCGGGAGATGCAGGTGCTAATGTATGATTTGGACTTGCTGTTGGGCTCGGGAGTGGTGAAGGCTCCTCAGGTGGTGATGGCGTCTTTGCAATGCGGAGAGGACCCGAATCACTAGAGGAACACAGGAGATTAGGCAAGGGGCCTTTCAAAGAACAGTATTCATCTGATCAGGGGCTATTCCATCTCAGAGAAATCCTGAAGCCTTACAGGTACTGTCTGTTCTCCTGCTCTCCACTTCCAGGTTAATTCTGGTTAATCGCAACAGTGATGGTGATAACTGGTACCATTCATTTGCACTACACAGGCCTCATTCATATATTATCTCTTGTCTTCACAGTAGCCATGCTTTAATGTCCCCACTTTACAAGTAGTAAAGTGGGGCATATAGAGTTTAAAAATAAAAACCCTAAAATCACCCAGCAATTTAGTGACTCTGAATTCAGGTCTTAGCAATGCAAGCCCTCTGTTCTTTCAAACAAGCTCTGCAAGAATCAGGTCCAAACATAGGCTGAATTTATTTTACTAGTTTCACTTTCTATTTACAAGAGAATCTTGTCATGTCACAATCTATTAAAAAAACTACTCTGAAAATTGTAACATATTAAAAGGCAGCCTTAAGATAGTGTTAGTAAGGATTCTGTAGAAGTGCTTTCAAATAACATTTGGAAATAAACTCACTAATTATTTCTCTTTCTAGACCTTATAAATAACTACTCAACTCAGGCATCTTGAAATGTGCAACAAAATCAGATAAGATTCAGTTTCGTTTACTAAGAACCCATCATGTTCCCGGCATGTGGCCAGACGCTCAGGAACAGCCCAAATGTGATGACTAAGAAGCACTTGGGACACATCCTACTCTCTAAGAATTTCTAAAGTCTACAGCTCAAAGAAACAGAGTCTGTACCCCAAAATAAAAGAGCATGTACACAGCAGCATGGTCTACATATTCTAAGGGCTGAGGGAACTGGGTCCTTTAGCGAGAACACAGACACGCCGCATGATTGGGGTCATATGTCAGCAATCATGGCCTCAGACGGAAACACAGCCCCAATCTAAGCTTAATAGAGATGCCACTGAGCTCACTCACCACCTCATTCTGCAGAGGAATGTCGAAAAAAATGAAAGGAACATTCATTAAGTGGTCATGGGCCCGCTTTTTCTTCACTGTATCTGATTTGGCAACATTAAAATTTTCAGATGAATTTGTCCCTTTCATTTCCAGGTAAGGGACCAACCCTTAATTTTCTCATGCACTTCATTTTTAAAACACTCAAATTTCCTTCTGATATTCCTATTCCAATCCTTCCTTTGTGCCTAATACTGAAATAACCATACTAAAAGCAGTAACTCTGCCTCTCCTATGTATTCGTTCAGGCAATATCTTTCCCTTAGAAAGAGAAGATATACTACAGCTCACATAGTATAGAAACCATAGCAGAACCTATAAGTAAGGCTAATCCAAAGAGCAGGGAATAAGAACATCAACAACCTCTAGAGGGATCCAAACATTAATATATGTAGAAGTTGGTTCATGTGTATGACTATGTGTGTTTTCATAAATGTATGAAAATAAGTGTTTGTATTAAAATGACAAATATAGAATGTCAAGACTGTATATTACCTTGGGAACCATGTAGTTCAATAGTATCTTTTTTTTCTCTATTGAATTAAAAAACTGAGACCTTCAACCAGAGAGGTTTTTGAACTTACTCAAGGAAGGCAAAGCAAGTTAACTGCAAAATCAGAAACCGAAAGCTGGGTCTTCTGACTCCCAGCTCACTAGCCTGCATTCTCTGAGTACATAAAGTCTGCGAAGAACGGAATAAAGAGGTTTCCAGAATCACCGGAGAAAGCTGGTGTGCAGCCGAATGCCGGCAAGGTAGACAGTTCACCTACGGATCGCTGGGGCTCCGGGGTATTTGACTGGCATACTCATAATGCAACGTGCAATAAAACAAAAATAGTACAGTGTTCACCAGATCAAGAGTTGGGAGGTAAGAGGAAGATGAGATCTTACCTACTTCCTCTTTCCTTTCCCAAAATGGATTCATAAAAGATGTCAGCATCAACGATAAGAATCAGGACAAACTGTCATAAACTTTAGGAATTCCTTTCTTCTCCAGAGAAAATATTAAGTGCATAACAAATTATATATTACAACAAGCATATACATAATCTATTAAAATTTCACGCTGTTGCTATCAGGCCTCATGGAAAGCAGAGAGAGGCAGAGAGTCAATGCTGTTATGACAAGAAGAAGAATCCTAGTTGGGTCACTGAAGGCCAGAAGTAAATGTAAAAGCCCTGAAATAAAATTAGTGTCAGCTTCTAGTGTGAAAAGGCTCCCATGAGACTTTTGTAGGATAAATAAAACAGTATAGGCTGGCCCAGAGATTGTAGAAATTTTAATGAGCAGTACATTATGGGAGCTCCAACGAGCAGGGGCCTACCTGGGCGCTCCTTGGATGGTGAAGGCCTTGTCGGCATGCTGGTCACCCAGTTTCGTCATTACTTCATACAGTTTGTGGCAAAGCTAAGGGGACAGAGGCCACTTGTCTATTAGTCACATGTCATCCTAGTGCCAATTCAGGCTATTCTCCCCAAGAAAGAAATTGCTTATTGAGAAACTATAAATTTTATTATAGTTTGGATAGCCTCAGGATAACTGAAATTCTGTATATGGTTCAAATTTAAAATCTATGTCAAAACTGAAACAAATGAAACACAAGTAAACAAAAAAATACGTATTTATTAATCAGAGGACAGAGCAGAAAACAAAAGCTTATTGTTTACATTGACTCCACCCTTTTGAACAACAACAACAAAAATCAATCAACAACAGAGTTGTTGATTACCTAAATATTCTGAGACCAATTTTTCATCAGCCTAAAATACCATTGGGAATTCCAACTTTACAAACTGCCTGGTAAAAGAAACAACACTGTAAAACTGTGGCAAAATCTTCAAAAGATACAAAGAACTATGTGATCACTATGAAAACCTGTAGAAATGTTACCAAGGGTAATAACGCACTACTAAAAGAAACATACAAAAGAGTGAATTCTTTGGATAATTCTATCCCATTTCATTTGCTTCCAAAATAAACCTTCCTTTACTTTAGATTCCACATGCAAAAATAATCACCATGACTCACCACCGCAATTTCCTTATGAAACTTGGCTTCAAGGCTGGAGACGTTTTTGAAAGTATTAACATAAAATCCAACTCGTCTGCCATGTGGAAATACAAAGAGGAAAGAAGAGAGAGGGAAAGACCAGTCAGCAAAAATAATTCTAATAGCAACGAAATGTATGAAAACCCAGGTTTCTTTTACACCATGTTGAATAACTTTGGACTAAATAAAATACTGAACCCAAAGCAAGCCCAACATTTCCTCATCTGTTAATGAACGAAACCAAATATCTTTTGGCACAGAGCATGACCTCTCCTAAAATTCAGTTACTGCCTTAAGACAGTGATTCTCAAACCTTAGTGTGCCTGAGAACCATCTGAAGGGTGTGTTTCTGATCCCGTAGGTCTGAGCATGGAGACTGAGAATCTGTATTTTCTGGTGAGTTTCTAGATGACAACTGATGCTGCTGATTCAGAGACAATGCTTATGGAACCACCGCCCTGAGAACTTACTTATATTTTAGATGATGTTTCTTGCTTTCGAGATTTGAGAAGTTCATTATTAATTTTTAAAAACTATAAATGGTCTAGTTATTATTATGTGTTTGGACTCTGAAATTTGTTTCATAGAGGGAAATAAAAAACACATAAATTAAATCTAATTGTTCATCAAAAATTAGAGCATGTCATCACTGAGTAAATGAAAACATAAGCTGCCCATTCATAATAGCAACGAGATTAACTTCTTCTATGGCTTATCTTTACTTACATCCCTAACATATTTGACTTAATCTTAATTTTCTATACTTACAGTGATCATGTGACCCTGATTTCATATATTTTTCTTTTAATTGATTTTAAAAGATCATATACTTATTCATAAATACATGAGCATATATATATTCATATGCATACAAATACACATGCATATAGACATCTATTCATTAATAAAGAAAATCCTCCACAGTGTATTTGGGAAATGGTAAGCCCCCAGGAGGATCAGATCAGAGCCTGGGAGAGGAGAGCCTAGGGAGGAAGCAGATGGTTCACTGGGGCAGAGGTCCTTGCCAGACCATGAAGCACAACATTTATTGGCAGGCAGTGGGCAACCCCTAGACGTGTTTGAGATAGGGCAAAGGAGAAGACTTGCACCTGTATTTGAGGAAGCTAATTAAGGCAGCAGTTTGACAGGCAAGGAGAGACCCTACAGGCTACCTGTACATTATGCAGAGGGACCCCACTCTCAGAGTTTGCAGAGAAGTCTTCTGGGGCACTTTGAGTGGCAACTCATGACTCCTTCTCCAGGGCCCCAATCAACTCAGACAGTAATTCTTAACACCTTTCTTCCTTCAATTACTCAACAAAGGACCTATCCAACTCTGGGTACATGCATAGTGGTAGGTGAACATGTCTCTAGGAACGTACAAGCCAGTTAGAGAAGCACCCAGAGGGGTTGCTTGATGAATATATGCTCCATTTATATTTACAATGGAAATATATATATATGTGTGTGTGTGTGTGTGTGTGTGTGTGTGTGTAAGAGAAAAAAGCAGATTTTATATATATTTGAAACAAGCAGATTATAAAACCACATGGGAATGTTAAGTTACAACAAGAAGGCATACATGATTAAATATCAAAAGTGAGTGGATATGGGCAGAAACAGAGAAACTGGGAGGAGAGGAGAGAAATGGGCCCTGTGATAGCTGCAAACACCTGCTTAAGAGGATAAACTTGGGCTGCAGAAAGACGGGTCCAATTTAAACAGAAGGTGGGTACAGATGGAAGAGGTGTGTAAGTTGAACTTCATTGGGGAGTATTATTTTATTTTTATTAATTTTTTCTATGGTAAACAAAACCCTAATGAATATCTACGATTAAGGTTTAGTACACAGCTTATTCATTTCCTTAGGACAGATTTCTTGAAGGTATTTGCTGGTAAAAGGAGTGAACCAAATAAGCACTGATGTTCACTGTCAAATTGCTCAACTGCTCCCAGCAGACTGGGCCACTTATAGTCCCAATTACCTTACATATGTGGTAATTGAACATTACTTTACATACGACCTTTATAAATATAACAGCCAAAAGTTGGCATCTCACTGACTTTTAGGTTTTTATTTCTTTAATTCAAGTTAACACTTTTGTTCATTTATTTACTGTTCATTTGTATTCCTTCTTTTGTGAATCACCTATTCAATTTTTTTTGTTATTTCTTAGTATTGTTTTTCTTATCAATATGTAATGGCACTTCTATTAAACACATTTAACTTTGGACGCATTAGGCAAAAACAAAAAAGAAGTCCCATTCTTCTATATTTCAATTTTGTTTTCTGATATACAGCATATCTTAAGTTGTCAAATCAATTATTATCCTGAGAAAATGGTGTAGTATCAGAAATATCTTATTTAGAATAACTAAACATCTACGTTTTTCTAATATTTTGTTTTTTAATTTAGAAATTAAATTAACTAGCATGTATTTAATTAGGATAAAGTGTCCAACATTTTTGATACAACTGATAGTGATTTTCTCCAATTTATGAAGTCAGAGATCCTGCAAAGAGGGGAATGCGTTTAACTAGTTCACTATTACAGCCCCAGCACCTAGTACACAGGAGGCATGAATAAATGAATAAACTCCATAAATGAATAAGCCAGTGAATGAAGAAACTTGGCACTCATTCTACTACAAGAGCACATTCTGATGTGACCCTAGCTTGTAAAAACCTAATGTAACCAGCAGTAGAATATACAGACACAAAGTACCAGAATACCAGGCTCTTGATTCTGATACTATCTGCTTAAAAGTTTAATTTGGCAAGTTCTTTATAAACAAGGGACTCTGAGACATCACCATTTCCCCAAATGTGGCATCCTCAGGACCCTTCTGATTATCTGTCAAAACCAACTTAATTTCTTTATTAAGATGTTTCTTTGTTCTCAGAAATAAAGGAGTTGAGCTTATCACAGCTACAGTTTGCAGGCCTGAGCACTCTCCCCTCTGCAATGCCCTAAAGAAATCTGTCTCCCTGGAGGGGAGTGTCAGTGCTTCCCCCCAGACCCTCTTGCAGTGGAGGAGGCATCCCCTGCTGTCCCTCACTTACCATGGAGATAGAGTACGAGCAAGAGTTTTTTCCTAGCTCTCTTCTGATCCTCTAAGCTCACTCCATTCTGGGATTAATGGCACTCATATTCAACCTCTTCAAAGCCTAATATCAACCTCTCAGCAACACTCCTCAACCCCAACCACAATCCACAATGGCATGCCTCATGGTTTCCCCTCTCTCCCTCACCAAATCCTAACACTAACACTGTAGATCTCGACAACCATATGACCATCCAGCCAAAACATGAGCCCTCTAACCAGTGACCCCAGCATCCTATTTATACACATTCTGCATTGGCCTCTGACATCTTGGATCTTGCCATGACTCACAACTATTTCACCTCTGAAATGGGGCAGATCAGTGGCCCACCCACTAACCTACTTTCCTGGGCCATGAGCTCCCTCATTCATTCATTTCCATTCCACCTGCTTTTTTCAAAACCTCTGTGAGATCAATGCGCTTTTCTTCCAGGCCATTACCCTTGATCAGGTTGAACATCCTGCTTTATCAAGCTTGGGCCCTGTGGTATACCCCTTAACACTCTCTGGCCAGTCCTATCAATACCCTTCCTCCTTGTCCTGATCCCCTGTTTGCTCCACATACCCTCAGTCCTAAATTATTCCACCTCTCCCACAGCTATGCCATCTTCTCAAAATGACAAAAGTTGTTTTTAGAAAGCTTCCCTTGCCCTCTAATTTCCCTATACCAGCTGCCACAATTCCTCAGGCCCATCCTAGTTAGAATCCTCAAAATAACAGACACCATCACCTGTTGCTGCTTTCTCATCTCCAACGGAGTCTCCAATGCCTATAATCAAGCTTCCGATCCCAACATCTACTGAAACCCCTCTGGACATTTACCAAAGGTGATGCCTCTTTAGTCCTCATCTGCTTGACCCCTCTATTGTAAATGATAGTCCTGGCACTCCTCATTTTTAAAATTCTCTCCATTCTTGCCTTTTTGAGATATCCCTCTGTCATGGCTCCTTCTACATCTCTGATTAATTTTTGGAAGGCTTTTCCACAGTTTCCTCTTCTTTTGCACATTCCATAAAATATGGGTGCTCTCAAAGGTTCTGCTTTGATCCTCACCTTGCCATTTGATCTATCTGACCATCTAATTCATCAACTCTCATGGCATCATTACCACCCATATGGTAATGACTCCCAAACCTTTCTTCAAGCTTTAGACTTAGCTTAAAAGACATAACTTTTTGAATTTCCTAACGATTCTTCAATTCAACATATATAAGCCAGATTCAATCTTGCCAAAATTTCCTTTTCTTTATGTATTGTCTATCTCTTTGAGAGATGACTTCCCTAAACATCCAAACTACAGTCTGAGTTACCCCATCTCATGTCACTCTCTACTAAATTATCCTTTTTTAAAAAAAATGTTTCTGCATTGAACTTTTTGCCTGATAAATTTTTCATTTCTTTTAAAGGTAACTGCCTTTCCCTGTCCTTCAATACAAGCTCCAAGCAAACAAAAAGTTTCAGTACAGAATCTTTAGCATTTAACAGAGTTCTTCACACACAGTAGGTGGTCAATAAATATTTGTTGAATGAATGATAAATGTATCTGATCCCTGTCTTTCTCCTGCTTCATCACCACAAGCCCCTCCCAAACACTATCACTCTGACTTTGAGTTACATCAGACCAATTAAAGTTCCATGAACCCAGATATCTGCTTCAACACACAGGCCTTTATTCATGCTCTATGTCAGTCTGGCATATCCTTTTCACTAAATGGTGGCTTTACTTATTTTACAAGATTTACCTCAAGAATTCTCTTGAGTCCTTCCTTCTTTCCATCTCTCTCTATATAATCTATAAGCTCCTTTAAAACCTGCAATCATATTCTAGTATTTTCTTTTTTTAAAATTGAACTTGCATCCCCCTCTAAGCAGTAGTTCATTTCTCCTTTATGAACTACTAATTTCTGGAGATCAGTTTAAATCCAAAATTTTGAAAGTTTTCTACACGTGGCAGTAATGGAGGAATAGAGAAACAAAAAAGATATAAGGCACACAAAGCAATTAGCAAAACAGTAGACAGAAAGCCTACATTATTGGTAATTATATAAAGGCAAATGGACTGAGCACAGCAATCAAAAGGCAGAGGCTGGCAGAATGGATAAAACACACACACATGTGCACACACAAATGATCCAACTAGATACTGCCCACAAGAGACATGCTTTAGAGTCAAGACAGGTAGAAAGTTTAAAAATGGAAAAAAGAATATTCCATGAAGAGTAATGAAAAGAGAGCTTGAATGGCTATACCAATATCAGACAAAATAGTCAAAATTATTAGAGACAAAGGACAGTTTGTAAAGATAAAACAGTCAATCCATCAAGAAGATATACCAGTTATAAACATATATACACCTAACAACAGAACCCTAAAATACATTAAGCAAAAGCTGACAGAAATGAAGATAGAAATAAGCCCAATAATGGTGGGAGACTTCAACAAGGCAGAAGATAGTAAGGAAATAGAAAACTTGAACAACATATAGTCGACCTGAACCTAACAGGCATATATAGAACATTCCACTCAACATTCTGAAGGATTATGAATAGTTTCATGCAGTAATAACTAATAGGTAATATGTTTATTACTCCATGCCCAGTAATATGCATTTCCTCAAAGGAGGCAAAGAAGATACAAAATACTAATTTCAATTTCAAGGTTGAGTAATATGGCTTGTTAAAGAACATATGTATTTATGGAATAACTTGAAAAATTATGACTGAATGCAATCTCATTTTAGATAAAGAGGCCCTAGATAAAAGCAGCAGGATTTACAGGAAAACAAAACAAAACACCAAAGTGTTTTAAAATGCTACCTTTAGGAGTTACAAGCTTAACAATCTTAGGCAAGGTATTTAATGAATATGATCTTTAGCTTCTCATCTGTGAAATGGAGAGATCTGTAATTGTAATGATTAGAGGTTATGTATGTAAAGTATGTAAAATGACACCTAGCAAATACAAAGTATTACAAAAAATGATCTTTTGTACACAGCACAAACAATGCACACAATTATTATGGTTGAGTAATCTGGATTTCATCAAGAAATATGCTATATAGAAAGGAAGGCTTAAGTCAGGTTTTGATCAAAAGGCAGGATCTGGATTGAAAAACTAGTTTTGACTGATGTTATTTCCTAAGTGCCAGAGTGAGACATTAGATTGATTTCAAAAGCATTGAAACATTTATACTGTGTATGACCAGAAAAAGGGAAAGGCTTCTTTCCAATATTATCCCTCAGATATTCCCTTTGTTTTTAAATCCCTACAAAGTCTTTCATGCTACAAGACACTCCAACAATTACTTTACTTTGAATAACCAAATACAATTTAGGAAGGGCACAAAAGACTGAAATAACATCAGTGCTAGTATTGGATGTAGTAGAGCTCATTAGAAAAATCTTAGTTATATACCCAATCCATAATAAGGCAAATAATAAATATCTGTCTCTTGAAAATTCTGGCAATTTCCCCAAAGTTTCATAATTGGCACTGGCAATTTCCCACGGTATTATCTCATAATTGAAAGCCTTGAACACTGTGGTATCCAAGTCTTTTTGAAGATCAGTTTAAAAAGCAATTAGGCAATTACATTAGAAATCATTAAAAAATTCCTTTACAGGGGAAATAAAAAGAATAACTGTCTTAATTGTATGTAAATGGCAACTTATGTTTGGAAGTAAATATCTGTTGCAGATGAAGATAAGCTCTGGAGAACTACTAGTTGAGGTGATGAGTATCTTAAGTGAGGACAAAAACACTGATGCTAAAGATATATGTAAAGACTTTGAATAAAAGTATTCCATGAAATGTTAGAGCAAAAAAGTAATATCTATATTTTTTAAAAAGCCGTAGCATCATATAATTTTTGATTTTAAATAAATGCGAATAACTAAATAAATTCAAATAATAAATAGATATTTGTTTTATCTCTATCCCTAAAAGTTGTATACATTCAGGTTGTTTAAATCCTCCCTGGGGGAGAGAAGAGGTCTTCTTTAGGCCCATACAGTGAGGTCCTAAGCAGGCCACAGAGATGTCAAGGTGGAGCTTCTGAAAGAAAAGGTATACAGGAAGAGGTCAAAGAAGGAAATGTAAAGGCAAGACTACTATCATAATCCACAACAGGATGATGAGGGTTAGGGTGTGGACAGTGGGACGAGAGAAAGGGAGAGCGATCCAGAAGCCCACACCAAAAAATGATGGATTGTTTATTTTGATGGCTCTTTCGTTTACTGTAGGTAACAATTCCAAAGCTTTGAGGCTTGGGAGCCCAGAAATAATGGCACACACACACAAAAAGAAAGAAACGCAGATGTAGAGAGAATGAGTAAATTCAGATGAACAATGACATAATTTCGCATGTTGGACTTTGGGTGATGGCTGGACATTGAGGTAGAAACCAGCCAAAATTTCATCCAGATATTTCAGTAGTTCAGCGAGAAACACTGAGTACCTTTTATTGGCAAAAATTAAAAACACTAGAGATGAACTCAAAAATGGGCAAACTCTAGTATAGACCCTCAAAATGCTTACAATTTTGGCGGGTAAATAGAAGCTCTAGAATTTGTATATAAGAAGGCTTTCGAGGCACACCCATCTAGTTGGAAGTTAGAAATAGAGGACCTGATTTAAAATAACGTGGCATTATTTTAAGTACAATTCTGGCTAATTTGGGGTAGGAGCATGAGGATACTGACAGAGATTGAGGATCATAAGGTACTATTTCATCCAACAACTTCTTTGTTCTACCACTGAGTAGGAAAAACAGAACAACTATTTAAAAATGCACTTAATTCCACGAGAAATGCAGAGTAATGTGTAAATAAGAGTATCTGGTGCTCAAAATATGAATACAGTTCAGATTTAAAAGTCAGGGCTGAAAGTAGAAGCTTACCATCTAAGCCAGATGACTAGATGAGCTCTTGGAATAAAGGACTGAAAGGACATTATTGTAAGTGTCAAGATGAGGGACAGTCTTCCTAATGCCTCTAATTGAGATTTAGGTCTTCACTTGAGAAATGGATTGAGGTCTAAAATTGTGTCATCCTATACAGCAGCTACTAGCCACAGGTGGTTATTTACATACAAATAAATTAAAACAAATAAATTAAGTTTAAAATTTAGTTCCTCCTTTTTAATCCTAGCCATATTCCAAGTGATCAACATCCACTAGTGACAAGTAGCTACCATACTGGAAAGTACAGATAAAGAACACTTCCACTGGACAGTGTTGAAGTATCACAGTAAAAATAAAGACAAGATAAGGGATATTCACTGACCTTGAATTTCTAAAAGGAACATGTGCAACCTGTAGAGAAATATTTTTACCTTGACCATAATGATGGTAACTCTTCTTGTAAGTCAACATTAAACTCTTCAAACACTTTCTGTGCTTTCTGAAATTCTTCTTCTGCCTAGGAATGAAACATAACATGTGTTTACACTAAGAAAGACCATTTCTATACACCACAGCATCATTTAATATAAAATAAGAATAGTTTTATGGCATCTTGGAAACATTTTGAGAAGGAGAGTATTTGGTTAAAAGCATATCCTTGTTTTTCAATTAAACAGGAAATACTAAGAATCCCTAAAACTGGAAACTGGATCGATTACAATGGTTGCTCTTGCAGTTTCTGGCTGAATCATTTTTTCTACAAAAATGTGTTAGCTGCCTGCCATGTAGACAGCTCTGCTATGGATACTGAACATGAATGCATCCCCAGCAAATTCCCAGTCTAGTGGAAACTCTAAATAATTACATTACAGGATGTATTTACAAAAGGGACTTACAATGTGTTATAGAGCATGCTATGTGGAAGGTGATGCTGAATCCTAAAGAATCAGAAAATGTTTGCTAAGGGAGGGGGTAGGAAAGACATTACAATACATAAAGGTGGAATGCCTTGAAATGAAATTCTAGCTTACCATGTGAACTTGTCATACTGCTTTACTACTGTGTACCTCACAGGTTGTTTTGAGTATTAAGGAAAGTTAATGTAGATGAAGTGTTGAACAGGATGCCTGGTATCTAGGAGGCCTCTCATGAAGGGCATTTATTATTGTGAACTGCTCAGAAACTGTTGTGTAGCTCTGGCTCATGGTATGTTTATGGAAGAAGGCGAGGAGGGGAACGGAGACTTGAAAGTTGATCAGGATGGACAGGTGAGTTACAGCCAAATTGTGAGGGTCTTCTATGCTGTACTAAGAAATTTAGCATTTTTCGTAGAGGTAATAGAAACCATTAAAATATTTAAGCAGTGAGAAACATATCTTGATGTAGAAAGACCAGTCAGACAGCTGTGTGTAGGCATATAGGAAAAGGCAAAACTGGAAGAAGAGGGTGTACTTAGGAGATGACTTCAGTTAGTCGGCATCTGTAACTTGCTGATATACATGGTGAAAGTTACTATAAAAAATTTTCTAACAGAAAAATAGTTTTATGCAAATCCACATGTCTGTACTCTCAGACAATCAAAAGTCACCTCTGAGAATTTCAGCTTGGTGTCCTATCTGCATCTGCATTTCAGCACTGAGGGTGGACCACAACTACCTAAGGAAGTGCGGACACGCTACGTTCTTTGATCCTGCAACATTGTAGGTCAAAGTTCATTCTGATCAAAATGTGTGAGTCAGTGTCCCCCATATGAACTGTACAATATAATGAAAAGCCTTATTTCCATTAAAAATAATAAAAAGCACTATGTTTCAGTTTAAATTCTGTTCAGTTTCCAATCTCCTTTTACAGAGGAAGCACTTAATTTTAAAAAGCAAAGCTGCAACAGGTCATAAAATATGGAGAGTGTTATTCACCCTAGGCTCAATCCCTACCTTAGAGATTCGACTCTCATCCTTCCTCTTGGAGCTCTGCAGAGCTTCCAGATGGTGGCGGGCACTGTCATAGTCCACCAGCTTCCTGCTGCGCTTGGCGATGCGATTCTGTCAACAGGAAATGCACTCACTAAGAGAGAAGCACGGACATAGAGTCTCCCTTTGACAGCCAGGTGCCAAAATGCTTTCCTTGTCCAGAGCTGCTGAGGATCTTGACTGGAGATCAAGAAGAGCTGGAGTTGCACTAGCTAAGTGACCCCTGAAAATCAGATGAATGCCTCCAATCCTTTGTGTGGAAGCCATTAGATAAATATCTTCCCTTTTGATAATAATTAGGATAATCATGAGCAGCTGAGGGCAGTTTGCAGTCAACGACCAGAAAAAAACCCAGAATTGGTCAGGGAGAGAAGGCAAAACTATACTCATTATTCTCTAGTCTAAATCTTTAAATGTTGTATTCTGAAGATAGTGGAAAACTATGTTAGATTTGGTTTTATAATTCTAATAACACTCACACCAACAGCAGTTCTATAAAAACAGATTTACTTCCTAAGAAATCTCTTTTCCTACAAGTGATTTTCAATACTTTGTTCATTAGAATCCCTTAGACTAATGTGTCATTTGGAATAGCTGGTGGCCAAAGACACAGGGCCAAAGGCACAGATTGTGCTAATGGGCAAGCCCTTTCCCATGGGTCAACATTGGAAGCCATGAGAAAGTCTGAGAACAAGACATTCCCTTGAAGTGTGGATGCAAATGAGGTGACATATGGCTGCTAGGGGATAGGCATAAAGCCCTGCTCATTTCTATGGAACATTTCCTCTTAACAACAACAACAAAAAGCTTTAAGCTGCTTGAGGAGGGGGCACCAAACCCTTCTACCCACAGGTGCAAGCAAAGATCTACTGCTTCTGGGGGAGCAGTCAAAGCAAAACCAATGTGGCTCCGGTAGAGATGGAGAGCCTTCTGACCTCTAGATTTTAGGCAAAAATAATTGTTGTAGGCAAAAGGGTAAAAGAAAAAGTCTCAAGGGGCATAAAAGCTTCCTAGGCCCAAGACCTGACTCCTTGGGCCTAGGAAGGAGTGGACTGTTCCAACTTGGGCAGGGAAGGAAACTTGCTCAAATCCAACCACAGTTATGAGGCTGACTTTGCCTAAAACAAGGCCGGGAAAGGATTTAAAACAAACAAATAAAACAAAACAAAACAAAAACCCAAAAGCCCTAACTCCACTAGAAGCTATAACACTAAAAAACAAGCAATAGTGGCCTACCACTGGAGGAGGACAGTGCAAGGAGAGAGACCCCTTCTGCAATATAGGCATACAAAGACAACTAAAATCTAATAAGCAGCAGCCACACTGAGAAAAACCCTCCAGCACCTAAGGGCCCCAAAATCAGGCTTCAACCTAAGAATTTGAAAATATTACAGACGTTAAAATATAAGTAGAAGGCATTAGCAGTCTAATTCTGGAGGAATTTGAAAGCTGTAGTGCACTGCAGTAACAATAGCAAAAATAAAGCCCCAATCCAGCTCGGGTCCTGATTAATTGATTCCCGCTATCATATTAATGGCCTGATAAAAAGGTTGGCCAATTTTCAGACATAAATATGATTTCAGTACTCACTATCCTATACATGATGTCTGGCATTCAATCAAAAATTACAAAATACACAAAACAAACAAACAAAAAAACCCATGAGAAAAGATAAAGCAAACAACAGAGACAGACTCAGACATGACCCAGATGTTGGAAGTAACAAACAGGAATTTTAAAATGAGTATAACTAATATGTTAAAGTATCTAGTTTGAAAAAGTCAACAACAAAGATAATCAGAAGGGGAATTTCAGAAGAGATATAGAAACTTTAATGGTCAAATAGAAATCAAATTAAAACACTAGAAATTTTAAAAGTGTTATCAGAGAGGAAAAATTGATTCGGTGGGCCCATCACTAAACTTGAAAAAGCTGAGGAAATAAACAGTGTACTTGAAGACAGGTCACAATAAATTATTTCCATTAAAACACAAAAAGGAAAGAATTGAAGAAAAAAAGAGAGAGAATTGAGCATATAAGACCTACAGTGCAATATAAAATGGTCTAACATAATATAACTGAAGTCTCAAAAAGAGATGAGAGAATAAGAAGCAATATTTAAAGAGATAATGACGGAAAATTTTTTTAAATAATGAAGACATCCAAGTATAGATCCAAGAAACTCAGAGAATCCCAAAAAGGAAAAATACCAAACAATACACATCTAAATACATCATAGTCAAACTGCTTAACATCAAGAATAAAAGAAAAACATAAAATAAAAAGGTAAGAATTACAGGTTGCTAATCTTCAGAAACCATGCAAGCCAGAACACATTGGATGATATATTTATAGAACTAAAAAATAAAAGTTAAAAGAAATCTGCCAACTCAGAATTCCACACCCAGTGAAAATATCTTACAAAAGTGAAGGTGAAATAGTTTTTTTTTTTCAGACAAACAAAGGCTGAGGAAATTGATTGCCAGCATAAGAATTTTAATATGAAGTGGAGCTACACAGAAAAATGAGTACCAGAAATGATAAAAGTCAATGTAAAATATAAAAGATTTTGTTTTCCTACTTTAGTTGCTTGAAAAGGTAACTGATTATTCAGAGCAAAAAAACATAACTAATATATTGTGGTGTTTATAATATATGTAAAAGAAAAATGTATGACAGTAATAGTGCAAAGGAAAGGAGGTGGGAAATGAAAGTGTACTGCTGCACGGTTCTTAAATAATACATGAAGTAATATACATTATTTCAAGTTAAACCTAATACATCAAAGATGTATGTTATATACTGTAAGGCAGCAACAAAGAAATAAGTTAATAAAGAAGTATCTATGTGTCCCAAAAATATGAGCAATTATTATATGCCAATTAAATAAATTGTTATATGTCAAATAAATGAGAAAACAGTAAAAATAAGTATAACCAATAAGGAAGTATCGTAAAATATACTGATTCCTGAGCCCTACACTTAGAGATTATGATTTAATTAGACTGAGGCAAGCCCTAGATACCTAAACTTAAAAAAAAACTTCCCCATAGTCCAGTTATGCCCAGTTATTTGAAAAATAAGAACTAACCCAGGAGAAGATGCTTTAAAAATTTTGATATGGTAGAAAAAAGAGAAAAAACACAATAATAATGTAAATGGTTATGGCTTACAAGGCATTGTCACATCTGATGGATCCTTCTAGCAACCTATAGAATGAGTGTTTCAGGGATTACCTCCATTTTACTTTTAGGAAATGTGGAGCGGCATGAGATTAGCTCTAATTTGTCCCAAATTGCTCAGCAAGTCTGTGGCAAAAGTGAACTGAATTAGAAGTTGGCCCCAGTGACCAGCGCCAGGAGTAGGATGAGGCAGGTGAGACAGGGCACAAAATTTAAGAAGGCCCCTTACTCTCATGGTCATGTGAGTTCAGGGTTAGCAACTGCCTCCTTCTAAATTGCACCACGGATTCTTTGCTCGCTTCATCCAATCTCATCCCTGCTTCTGAGTCTTGGTTAGTGCTCCTTTCAACAGCTCCCGCTATCTTTCTGACAGACTTTATGAGTCAACTACAACCTGTCACTCTATGCTATTCTTCTACACACCCTTCAGGACTGGTGAGAGGTGGGTTGGGGCAGTTAACTTCTTTGGCTATTTCTAATTGCTTTCATTTTCCCTGCACCTACCACTTCCAACTAGGATACTGGCAGAAAGCATGGAGATACACACCCAGTCACTCAAAGGATGCAATGAGTTAGCCCAGGCAGAGTGGAAACCCTTCAATTAGGTATGGTGAACACCATGTGCCTATAAGGTGACAAGGCTCATTACTTTTAGCAAAAATCTGTTACCTTCAAAGGAGGTTATCCCTTGAAGCGGTGGCCTGTGTAACTATATGCAAACTCTTATAAAGCTCTTCCTTACGGACTTGCCTTCTAGCTTGGGCATTGCCTTATTATCTTCCAAGTAGCAAATCTTGATTCTCTGAAGATAAATTTGATTTTTGGAAGCAGCTATGAATGAATAACTTTTAAGTCTTAGAATACGATGGAAGAGTACACTGGGTAATCTTATTTTTGTTCAAAAATAAGAAGCAAAGTAAATAATGTGACTCATTTTCTTAAGTAATTTTTAAGTCAATTACAAGGATAGCTTACCATGGTAGAAATGACTATTTTGAAGAATATCACTCACTTTGATGCATACATTTTGGGGTTAGAAAAGACAAATTGATCTTATTTTCTTACCTATCTGATATTTGGGAAACTTGGGGGCAAAAACCTAAATCTCCTAAATAAGGGTAAGGTTGACACATATTAGCTTTCTTAAATAGAAAATTACATAATTCTTATTTAACCATCCAATAGGAAACTTAATTAAATTACATTATAAATTTAACTGACATTTCTTGATAAAAGAAAAATCTTGAGATTTCTCATTGTGCACTGAACCTCTATAGTTAAAAAATAATTTAGTATACATTTTTAAAAATTCTATAATAATTCCAATTTGGAATTCATTTTGGTACACTGCAGTAAATACATGCTTAGTTGCTCATGCATGGCTGCCAAGATAGAATCCAAACTATATTTTACAATAACTGCTCACAGTTGTAAGCCTGCCTGGGTTGGTGACAAGCAGGTTCTTATTACAACATTGATTTCAGATGTCAATGCTGCATAACAGAAACCATAACACAGGGTATCCTGCCAATCACAGCTGCAACATCATCCCTCATGAATGGTCCTTCATAGACCTCACTGATGGGCTCAAGTAAACATTTGGAAATTTGCGTGAGGTTTTAACTGCACATGGCCTGTCGATTTCAATAGGAGGCAAGGAAGTCAACTGCGTTACATGCCTCAAAAATTCTCCATTGAATATTTTTAATCATAATCTTCCTTTCCATCAATAACTCATTCATTACAAAATCACTCAACACTACTTTTGTAAAGTGATGGAGTCTATACGTACTTCTAACTTCCATTCACTGAGTAAAGGCACACAGAATAACAAGTCCATTTTCACATAAAAACGTCTTTCAAATATTATATACAGCTATATTCTCACTC